ATGGTCATTTACACAGCTTTTTGCTTATAATTTTAGAGTGTCAATGTACCTCTTTAAGTACTGAGTATAGATGGGCCATTTAAAAAACTGAGGATGCTTTTTAACCCAAGATATTTTAAAACTTTAATTGTAGAAACTAATATCTTAAATTGTATACACTGACACTATTAGAACTCTAAAGTCAGTCATTTCTTTAACTGATGGACAAAGTCGTAACAATGAAAAAAAAAATCCCTCTTCTGTATTTGAATAAAGATTGACCAGCAGTTAGCATGATGGCTATGTCGCTGGACTCCCACGTAGTCGACTGTGGTTCGGGTCCCGGACCTGGTGTCTTAAACTCACGTTGGGCGTGTGTGCATGCATGCCCAAGATCCCGAGAGGAGAATGGAGGAGAAGGGATTGCGGCGTGGCCATCCCCTCTGGGGGGTGATTTCTCACTTTCTGTCTTTCTGTCTCTCTCTGTCTGTCTGGCGAGAACACGCGCCCTATAGCAAAAACCTCTCCGAAAAAAAAAAAAAAAAGATTGAAAATTGTGTCTGCATGCTTAGAAAAATGGTGCTGATGTTAATTATGTTTTACCAGCAAAGCCTAATGAGATGGCTCCAGGTCAAACCAATACCTTTGGCATCCAGCTTACACCAAAATTGAGATTGTAAGCCACTGCCAAAAGAAATGAATTGATATTTAGAGCATCTTTTGTAAATGCTCAAAGAATATGCATTTCTCAGGATTTGTTCTTGGACTAAAAGAAATATACTCTTAGGAGAAAAGGTTCATATGGCATTAAATACTTCAAATTTAAGAATTATTAATAGATCCTTAATAATTCATCATTCATTTGGATACTCCTGAGATAAAATTGTTAAGACGTAAGTCTGTGTTAACTTTGTAGCTACACATGAGCAATGAATTTCATGTTTACTGCTATGAGAAAATGGTATCTTCTTCCCTCCTTAAATTATGATTTTCAATTCCAAGGTTTTCTTTTTGTTTGTTTGTTTGTCCGTTTGTTTGTTTTTTTTTGCCACAGGGCATGTGTGTTTGCCAGAGATAGACAGGAAAGTAAGAAATCACTCCCCAGAGGGATGATCACACCACAATCCCTTCTCAATTTTCTTCCTGGGATCTTGGACGTACACGCAAATGTGCCCAGCATGATTTTCAAGTCACCGGGTCTGGGTGGGACTCGATCCATGATTGGCCATGTGAGAATTCAACAACTTAAGCACCATGACACCTGCGGGCCCCTCAATTCCAAGTTTTATTCCACAAGCTTGATGTAATTCCTTAAATTAGCTGTTAGTAAGCAATTACAAAATCACCTACTGGGACCAGCAGGTTTGCGTAATGGCTATGTCGCTGGACTCCCACATAGTCGACCACAGTTTGAGTCCCAGACCCGGTGGCTTAAACTCACGCCAGGTGCGTGTGCATGCGTGCCCAAGACCCCAAGGGGAGAATGGAGGAGAAGGGATTGCGGCGTGGCCATCCCCCCTGGGGGGTGATTTCTCGTTTTCTGTCTGTCTGTCCCTCTGTCTGGCTGGTGAGCACACACGCCCTATAGCAAAAGCCTCTTAAAAAAAATAAAAAGAAATGTGCACCACTGATCGTATTTAATTCATCTTCTGTTTTAACGTGGTATCTGATATTTATTTTATGGCTTTTGAATAACCTAAAATATTCTCTCTTAGCCTCATGGGCACTTCTGTCTTAATTTCGAAAATACAGAATGAACAAAATCTCAGTTATTTTATAGGTGAATAGAGTATGCCAGAGATTCATGAATTCACTTATGCTGAGAGCTCTATCTAACTGCAGAGTTCATGTCTTATTAAGTGACTGTTTTCTCCTAGGAACACATTAAAAGAGCCACAGACTCTTTCCTGTTAAAAATATAGATGTTATGAAATAGAGTGACTACGAAGATCTTGAAAATGTAAGAGCTGATTTATTATTGACTCATTTAAAATATGTGAAAACCTGCCTTGGCTATATCTCTGTGGCATCAGGACATTCACAATAGATGTCACATATTGTCAATTGCTTCCAGATATTTAGAATGATTTATAGCCAGAAATAGTTATTTTGGGCTACTTCTTGATTTTTGTTATTTAGTAGAGTTTTCTTCCAGAATTTAAATTTTATTTTTAATCATCTGGTAGTAATATCATCAATGTTAAATGGACTAGTTAAATCTAGTTAAATAAGGGTCTTGGAAGTGCTTTTTTTCTGTCCTAAATTTCATTTATTAAAAATAGACATTTCCCAGATGGCTCATTCATAAATTTTGGACTTTCCAAAATTGCTACATAAAATATTTAATAAAGAGCTTTGTTCTTTAGGATATTTTTCTTAATTTTCAGTTTTTTATTTGTTTTTATGTGTGTTTACTTGATACATATCACAAATGTTTCATGGGAAATATTTATCTCCAAATATTTTTCATTCTGTATATGAAATTCACATTGAAATGAGCATCCTGTATTTTATGACACAAACCTATGTTAATTTGTTTTGGCCTAAGATATTTTCATAACTAAATATGTTCTACAATAATAATTTTTAATAAAGTAAAATAATGACTCATACATATTAAAAAATCATATAGCTGTACTATATCAATTTTCTACTAATTGTGTATACCAATGAAAGGGTTGGTTAAGAAATGTTCAGTGGCAATGTCTTTTTTTTTTTTTTTTTTGTAGATTTCTGTCACAGGTTCATGGGCTCCTGGGGGATTGGAGTGATGAAGGGTGGAGTGGGAGGGAAGGTGGTGTGGGAGTAAGGAATTTCCCCCTCCAAAGAAGGAAGACAAAGTAAACCCAAGCAAGACTAAAGTGGCTTGAAGAAAAATTCCAGTGAAAATATCCAAGTCAACTGGGGAACAATGAAAAGTAAATGTAATTTTCTTTTCTTTTTTTTTTTTTCTTTTTTTTTTTTGCTATAGGGCACATGCCTTTTCCAGAAAGACATAGAAAGTGAGAAATCACTCCCCAGGGGGGATGGTCATGCTGCAATCCTTGCTCCTACATTCTCCTCTCAGGATTTTGTGCCCAGTGTGAGTTTAAGACACTAGGTCCAAGCCTCAAATCGCAGTCGGGAGTCCAGTGATATAGCCATTACGCCATCTGCTGGCCCCAGAAAAGAGTATATATAATTTAAAGTTAGGTTTCAACTGATGTATTGTATGCTTGTATGTTTGTTTTGGAGGTTTTTGATGAACTTTCAGAGAGAATAGAGTGTTATATGAAGCTAATTCAAAGACAATAATGGTCAAGTCTGCCATCTTTTCAACATTGTAACCCAGGTAGGAGGCTTGAGTTCTATCACTTGTACAGGAAGCCAAAGCTGTCCTACAGAAACAGATTCCAGGACAGAATTTGGAGTGAAAGAGGAAAAAAAATGTCAAAGGAGGTTAAAAATAAACCAGGACAAAATTGAAAAACTAGAGGATAAAATATATATACATAGACACACACCTAACAGATTTGACTCTAAGTTTTTGTGGTTCATTAAAGATGAAAGCATTCACTACATATGAAGAACACTTTAGGCTTCAGCTTCCAGAAGCTTTAGATTAGATCTATTATAATTTACAACTGTAACTCATATAAATAGTAATGATTTAGAAATTATAACACACCTTTAAATTTATTATGTTGTGTTACAGGTTTAAACTTTTTGTTGCTTAAAAAAAATGCTTGCAAATCATACATTTAGCATAGACATAGAAGTTGTTTCTTTGAATAGTAAAAAAATTACAACTGTAATATATAGTATATAAAGATTTTTTAGTTTTTAGAGGGCATGCATGCTCACCAGAGAGATATAGGAGACAGGGTGAAAAGAGAAGGAGAAAACACCCCAGTGCAGTACGCTCACATTGTGATCCAGTCTCCATTTCTCCATCCTGCTGGGATTTGGGCATACATGCTACATGTGCCTCGCATGGTTTTCAAGGCACCCAACCTGGGAGTCAAACCATGGTCCATCAAGTGGGATCTGGCTCCTTTAACCACTAGACAAAGGGGCCAGCCCTTATAAAGCTCGTTCATATTAAAAATGCAAAGTTTAATTCGTTATGCATATGTCACATTACTGGTTCTAATCTGATTTTTCAGCTAACAAATAATCACAATCCATTACATTTATTATAGACATATTTCCTTCTGCTCTTCCCTTAAAAACCCATTACAAAAAGTAAGAAGTCGTTGTCTTCTGAACCATAACTATTTCCTGTTACAAGTGTACAAAGCCTCAAAATGGTAAAATGGTGGACATAAACAGCAAATGATCCTTTAATCACCCTGTTTGTAAATGTTTACAAGAAATAGCATGGTGGCCCTGATAGTTAAACTTCTTTTTCTCTTTACTGCAATTTCTAGCCAAAGTATTGTTAGTGCTTTGCTAAACTGCCTCATTTACCATGCATGTTCTTATATTACTGCCATTTCTTAGTTGGATGGAGCTGCGTATCCTGGATATGTGCTGAAGCAGGGCCTCTCCATGTGACCACAGCTACACGACCAACCTGTCAAATAATTTGTTTCCTAACCACTGCAACATCTAAGGGGAGGTGATCCTTGGAGCTACACTGGGTCAGGCTACCCGATAAGAAAATGGGGCCTTTAGAAATAATCTTGAGCTCCTTAAGGGTATAGACAACATCATCTGTTGTCCACATTTATGTTAAATAAAATCAAGACTATTCAAAGAATAGTGTAGGTATTAAAATTTAACTTGCATCTTTATCAAATGTAATAAATTCTGATCAAATACACATGCATTTGCTATATTCTGTGATTCTCCTCTGTCATCTTTACTGAGATACAATTTACATACTTCCCATGGAAAAGAATTCTTTTTACTTAATTTAAGTAAAAAAATGTATGTATATTACTGTCTTTATAACCACTTTATTTTGAGCTTTTTAAAAATTTATTTAGGCTCCCTCTTTCCATCCGAGCAGGCACCGGTGGCAGCAGCGTTGTGCAGCTATGGCCAAAATTAAGGCTCCGGATTTGCGAGGCAAGAAGAAAGAGGGGCTGTTGAAACAGCTGGGCAACCTGAAGGTAGAGCCGTCCCAGCTGTGCGTGGACAAAGTGACAGGCAGAACTGCGTCCAAGTTGTCCAAGATCCGAGTTGTCCACAAATCCATTGTCCGTGTTCTCACCGTCATTAACCAGACTCAGAAAGAAAACCTCAGGAAATTCTACAAGGGCAAGAAGTTCAAGCCCCTAGACCTACGGCCCAAGAAGACCGGTGCCATGCGCCGGCAGCTCAACAAGCACGAAGAAAGCCTGAAGACCAAGAAGCAGCAGTGGAAGGAGCGGCTGTACCCGCTGCGCAAGTTAGTTTGCGGTCAAGGCCTGAGCGCGGGCCTCAATAAAACAACAGAACTGGCACAAAAAAAAAAAAAAATTTAAGCTCAGGACCAGCAGTTAGCATAATGGCTATGTCCCTGGGCCCCCATTGAGTTGACCGCGGTTTTGAGTCCCAGGCCCGGTGGCTTAAAACTCACGCTGGGCTCATGTGCGTCCGTGCCAAAGATCTCCAGAGGAGAATGGAGGAGAAGGGATTGCAGTGTGGCCATCCCCCTTGGGGGGTGATTTCTCACGTTCTGTCTCTCTGTCTCTCTCTGTCTGTCTGGCGAGTGCACGCACCCTATGGCAAAAACCTCTCCAAAAAAAGAAAATTATTTAAGCTGTTCATATATAAGCAAATCTTGTTATATGGTTATCTAAATATAAGAGTATCAATTTGACTCCATTCTTCACATTGGCTTAGTGCTGTTTTTAAGGTACCTTCATCTATGTAAAGGGCTGCTTTATGTCAATTATTTATTAATAATTGCTGGTCTACTGAAATTTAAATACATGTTTACTACATTCTCTTTGAATTATAAATAATCCTGGTGTTGTCTACACAATGAATTTGAACATGGCCTAAATATGCCCAAACAGAACAAAGCATTGTTTACAAGATTCGATGGATAGCTATCTAACGTATGAATAAAAAAGAAAAAAGAATCAGTGGGCTGGTTGGTGTGGTGGTTAGGGTGGCTGGATCTAGAATGACCAACCTCATGGTTTGAGACCCAGATCTGTCATCTTGAGAAACACTCTGTGTGCATGTGTGTGTCCCCAAAAATCCCAGAAAGAGGGAGAGATAAAGGAGAGGGATTACAGTGTGACTATATCCCATAGTGGGTGCTTTCTCATGCTTTCCTTCTCTGTGTCTCCCTCTGGCAAAGACATGTACCTTCCGGCAAATTAAAAAGAAAAAAGACACAGTATCAGAATCAGCTGGCAGCACAGTGGTAAACCAATGCTCTGTGATGCTGGACCCATGGAGGAAGGTCTCAGATCACGTCTCAGTGCTTCCCTGCAAACACCCAGGATGTGGCCTGTGATCCTCGCTGGCTGAGGCTGACAATGGATTGCAGTGTGAGGATCCTGTTCGGGGTGTCTCTCTTCCTCTCACGGAAGAAATGGATACTTACTTATTTACTTATTTATTTTAAGAATTAGTGTCAGGGTAGGGTCTGTGAAATAAATCTTCCAGGATGTATAAAGAAAAGAATTTTGCAAAAGGAATTGTTAACAAACTTCAGTAAGGGATGGAGAAGTGAAATCCAGGGAAGTCAATTCCTCTCAGGTTTGTCTCCTAAGCTTCTGGTGAGGGACTACCAATTGTCACAGGTGCCTGCAGCCCCATGAGGGTAATTGTCACCAAAACCACTGAGGGTAGTACTGCCAAGCTCTACCATCTGTGCCCTGGTTGTAAAACAAGAAAAACAGCATCTGTTTCTCTTACCTTCCAAGTCTTTTGCAGGAACTTCCCACTGGAGAAATTTTATTCCCAGACTTTGAGCCCCTACAAAACAGGTTAAATATTTAAAAGGGGAATAGGGCTAAAAGCAAACGTTAGAAACACTTAAAGTGCCATTATCAAGTTATAACACAAAATTTAATAACAGCAAGGGGTAGAAATATTCATACTGATGATTTTATGTCCTTAAGGTCTTTGATGGTTTTTTAAAAATTACTGATGTTTTAGGCTACGTAGCTTATTCTCATGTTAAGGACAGAACTGCTGCTCTCTTAAAACTTTATAAAGTTATAATTATCTGTGTGAAAGCAGTAGTTTGTAAAGCATTTGAAATCTAGTTCTACCCCTTAGTTTGCCAAACATTTGTACTGTAGAACTTTTTCTTCCCTCCACTCCTATTCTTCCCTCTTAGTATTTGGCATATGTTTTCTGTATGGTGTGTACTTAAAAATAAAATGCTTGTAAAATTAAATTCCAAACTTGTGACCTTCTACAGAGAAAATAGGTCAACCAAACTGAGAATGATTGGTGGGCCAGCAGGTGGCATGGTGGTTGGGGTTCTGGATTTCCACATAGTCAACTGTGGTTCAACTTCGACCCAGTAGCTTCATAAATCACAACAAATAAATGGATAAATAAATAAATGTTGAAACAAAAAACCCTGAGAATGATTGAAACCATAAAATGACTTACATTAGGTTGGTTTTAAACACAGAGATATATGGGATATTTAGTAAAAAATCCAAAAAATTCAAATACATTTGCAATGATATCTGTCGAAATTTCTTTCTTCTGCCTTTAGATTTATAGAGATTTACTCTAGTTCCTCTCTGTTATTTATAGTAAATGTATTCATGTTTATAACCAGAATTAAGTCAAAGTCAATTCATACCCATTTTCAATGTAATTTTTTTTGGGGGGAAGAGGTTTTTTGTTATAGGGCATGTGCGCTTTCCAGAAAGACAGGGAGGAACAGAGAGACAGAAAGTGAAAAATCCCCCCCCAGCGGGGATGGCCACACTGCAATCCCTTCTCCTTTCTCCTCTCAGGATCTTGGGCACACATATGCGCCCAACGTGTTTAAGCCACTGGGTCCAGGACTCGAACCGTGGTTGAGTACATGGGAGTCCAGCGACATAGTCATTACTCTATCTGCTGGTCCCCCATTTTCAATGTAATTTTGATAAATACATACTCCCCCCAAAGGTTACATGCACTAGCCGGAGAAAGAGTGGGAAAGTGAGAAATTACTCCCTAGGAGGATAGCCATGCTGCAATACCTTCTCCTCCATTATCACCTCAGGATTTTGGTAATGCACACACACACACACACACACACACACACACACACACACACATGCAGTGTGTGGTTTTTAGGCCACCAGGTCTAGAACCTAGACTATGAGTCAACCATGTTGGGTCCAGCACCTTCACCATGCCACCTGGTACATACTCAAAACACATACTTTATTTCTTATTTTTAAGTTTATTCATTCAATAGTGCTCACATTTTAAAGAAGTTTTATTAAGATATAGTCAAGAAGTCAATATTTGATACAAAAATATAAAATGAGGGCTAGCAGGTTAGTGTAGAGGTTAAAGTGCTGGATGTCACATAGTCAACTTAGCAGTTCAAGTCCCAGACTGAGTGACTGAAAGATCATGTCAGGCATGTGTGTGTGCATGCCCAAAATCCTGAGAGGAGGATGGAGGAGAAGAGAATGTAGCATAGTTATTCCTCTGGGAGGTGATTTCTCACTTTGTTTCTCTCTGACAAGCACATGCATCCTATGCTAAAACAAACACAAAAAAATGGAAAGTAATCTGGCTCATACTTTACTTGCACTAACCTAAATTCTTTTAATATTATTAGTTTAATTTTTTCTTAGTAGTTGCAATTTTTGTACAGATGAATGAGTTTGGCAGATACGTAGATTGTGTGGGTACTGAAAATGACAAATAGTTCTATGCAGCAGCGATTCATTTAGAACTTGGTGTTGAGATTGGTTACAATGATTATTGCTGCAAATAAAAGGATATTTAGCCTAAAAAATAGAACATAATAACTTTGTAAACAGTTACATAAATTGAGATGAGAGTTTGAATTGATGTAGTTAAAGCAGTCTTGGCAGGAATATGTTTAGATTAAATTTATGAATTGTTGGAACTCTCTGGAAAATAAATGACTGAATTTTAATGATCATGTGTACACAATACCATTTTAGGGCGATTACAAGGTTTACTCCCCAGAGAATTCAAATTTTGCTTAGTGATAAAAATCAGCTAAGGCAGAAAAAAATTTCTAGCTGATGTAGAAATTATTTGGTTAATTATCACACAGTCTTTTAACATAAATCAATATAGGGGATCAATAAAAGTACCTGAAAATAAAGAAATGACTTGTCTTTCACTATTTTTCAACTACTCATTTAAACAAACTGCAAATGAATTACATTTTTAACCAGTTGAAAATCTGTAGGGATGTTTACTACTCAGTCCCAGTTCACGGTAATCAATTTGTGGGCAGCCCAGAATGCATCTCAAACTGTTATCACAATAACCATTTGTGGGTACAGCGGGTGGTGTAATGATTAAGGTGTTGGATTCTCACCTATTTCACCAAGGACAGAGTCCAGGACCCAAAAGCTTGAAAATCACACCACGTACTTATGCACGCATGCCCCAAATCTCGAGAGGAGAATGGAAAAGGGACTGCAACCTTCAGGATGCTTTCTTACTTTCCCTCTTTCTCTGTCTTCTTTCCAACCAGCACACATGCCCTATGGCAAAAACTAAAAACAAAACAAAACAAATTTGTAGGTAAATGGCCTACATTGTTTATTGTTGACTTCTGGTCTTCTCCCCATACTTACTGTAACTAAACTGTACTAATGTGTGGAGAGGTAGTCATCATGTTAGCTCCCAATAAAAGTACATATATGATTACTACAGTAATAAAAAGGTAAACAGGAAATGGGACTGCTCAACATTTATGAGACCAACAACTTAGCTTAAGGAATTTAGCTAAAATTCAGGAATACATTTGATTGATCATATGAGCTAAAGTATGAAGACAAAAAGAAAAGAATAAATCCATTGCTCTTTTGGAAATGATGATGAATTTTTGGCTATTTTTCCTATGGCTTTAATGAAGCTCTGTGCTGAGTTCTCTGTGCAAGTTCAAACTGGAGAGCCCTAGTGGGGAGAAAGTGGGAAAAAAGAGAAATCAGACAAGGTGAGATGTCACCTAGACACCTAGAAACAGCCACACCATGACACTTGGCTAGCAGCTTCATTTTAGATTCATTATTTAAATGTGCATTCCATTTTGAGTAGAAACTCTACTTCTAAAGTTTATCTTATATATTTTTCTCATAAGAACCAAAAGGCAGGGGCTAGCCAGCAAGTGGTGTAGTGGTTAAGGTGTTAGACTCCCACATGGCCGATCATGGTTCGAGTCCTGGACTCGGTGGTTTGAAACTCACACCAGGTGCATGTGGATGTGTGCCCAAAATCCTGAGAGGAGAATGGAGAAGGGATCGTGGCATGGGCATCTCTTCTGAGAGGTGATTTCTCACTTTCTCTCTCTCACTTTCTCTCTCTCTGTCTCTCTTAGTCTCTCTGGTGAGTACACCAGAGAGCACTATATACATATAGTGCTATAGAAAAATACCTTTTAAAAAAAGAACCAAAATGTATAATTTTGTTGACAGGTTAAGCATCAGGAAGCCATTCTATATGAAGGTCTCCTTATTTCTCAGGTACTTACACTTAGCTTGAGAAGCAGAATGAACTGTTGGTGCTGGAAAATGTGGCCTGAGTAGTAACAGAGAGCCTTACAGGTGATAAAATTGAATAAACTTTGGGAGGAATATAAATGATATCTGATACATTTCATTATGAAAAAAAAACATTCAAAAGTGTATTTCTTGGTCATTAATGGTTATTGTGGAATGAATTCTATACTTACCTTAATAATGATAATAAAGGGACCAGCAGTTAGCACAATGGCTCTGTCACTGGATTCCCACGTAGTCGACCGCAGTTCGAGTCCCGGACCCGGTGGCTTAAACTCATGCCGGGCACGTGTGTGTGCATGCCCAAGATTCCGAGAGGAGAAGGGATTGCGGCATGGCCATCCCCTCTGGGGGGTGATTTTTCGCTTTCTCTCTCTCTGTCTGTCTGGCGAGCACACGTGCCCTATAGCAAAAACCTCTCCAAAATAATAATAATAATAATAAAGACAACAATAATATTTATTGAATATTTACTAAACATCAATCAATCTGAAAGTGTGGACATTACTATTGTTCTAATTTTTTAAAGATAATACTTTTTAAATTTAATATATTTTTTCATTTGCTATGGAGAACATGTGCTCACTAGAGAGAAATAGGGAGAGAAAGAAAGAGAAAGGAAGAAAGTAAGCTGTGGGTCCAGGACTCAAACCGTGGTGGGTCATGTGGGGTCCAGCACCTTAACCTTCATGCCACATGTTGGTCCTATTATTTTAATTTTAAAAAGTTTAATTTTGTTTTTTTCTTTCATGAGTGAGTACCAGAAATAGAGAGGGAGAGAGAGAGAAAGAGAGAGAAAGACAATACCCCCATAAGTTTCTTGACATGTTCCATCCCTAGCTTTAACCAGCTGGATTTAGGTCATAATTGAGGAGGACTTCAGATGTCAACCTGATTCTCTTTAAAAACAAATAAATAAATAAATAAATAAATAAATACGGTTCTGAGAAGGTTAGTTACTGGTTCAAATTTACAGTTATTACATGCCAATGGAGGATGCATTGCCTAGCACAGTGCCTGTCACAGGGTTGTGTGTATACATACACACTCACACATGGGATCTTCAAACAGTTCATGGAAAATGCATATTATGAAAAAACTATGCATGGATTTCAAAATTTTTTGCACCAAATAAACTCATATTTTAATTCCATTATCTATGATCTTTTTTGTAATATTTGCATATATATTCTTATAGTTATCTGAGAATATTAGTCTTATCCAATTTCAGGATTAAGCAGGATGGTGTATCACAGCACACTAAAAATACAGATAATGTAATGCATATTTGAAAAACAAAACTAGTAGAATTATCAACAAATGTTTACAACATAGTGTAATGTTCCATGTTGAAGAAAATGAATACGGTATACCTTTGAGTTGATTATTATACACTATATACATGCCTTAGAAAAACATATTGAGACTAGCTGATGGCATGGTGGTTAAAGTGGCTGAACCCTGCTGGCTGACAAGTTGGTCTGAATCCCAAACCAGCAGCAGCTTGAAAAACTGACACTGATAGCTCGAAGATCTGGAAACGTACTGGTTTGTAGGGTCCTAGACTAGTCCATTTGTGTGAGAAGCCACAGCCACCATGCACAGGGGATAGGTGATACATAGATAGTGGGTAATAAGTGGGCAATTATGGCTTCTTGGTGCCTCTCTTGGCCTATTCATTCCAGTTTCTGAGTTGATCCCTGAAATAAGTTTTGTGCATAGGAAAGTGGCAGAAGGAAAGATGTGTAGTCTCAGAAATTACAGAGTTTATGGATGATTTAAGCAGTGTGGACAGGAAGAAGGAGCTTTGGAGGAAAGGAGGAAAGAAGTATAGAATCTCTCTTGCTCTGGTCTATGTACTATTTGTGTGTGTGTGTGTGTGTGTGTGTGTGTGTACGCACGTGTGTGTGTCCAAAATCCCAAAAGGTGAAAGAAAAAGAGAAGGACTGAGGCACAAGCATTTCCCATGGGTAGTGCCTTCTCTCTCTCACTCTCTGGTGAGAAAACCTGCCCTCTGGCAAAATTAGAATAAACGAACAAACAAAAAGAAACCAAACTGTAATTCACAACCAAATTATCAATTATATGTACACCAGAAGTTATAATTACAATTTTAAAAAAGAGGAAAGTAGACATATGTTAGCTATTGGGTTGTCAGGAAAGTCATGATGCATTTTGGCATAGAAACACAGAAAAATACATCATGGCTTTTCCAGCAACCTAATAGTTTAGACAGAAGATTGGCAGATGATAATTTGAATGTAAGTCGGGGTCTTTATCTAACCAAGTTTTCTACATTATTTTCTAGCATAGCTGAACAATGATGATCCATCTTCTACTTGAACATGACAGGAACATGAAGGTCACTCATTTCAAGAGAACATATTGAGGTGATGCCACAGTAAAATGTGAGGCTCTGTGAGGCTGACTTCACATGGGGAGGTTCTGAAGTTGGGTTTGGGGAGCTCCTTGAGTAAGCTGGCAGGTGTATGCCCATGATCTGGGGTGGGCTGAGGCAGGAAGTGGATTGTGGCTATTCTATAGAGAATAGTCTCTATTCTATTGGTCTTCATCACTTCCTTTTTAAAATGCAATGGGCCAACAATAAATTTTGAAGAAAATAATGAAAGGAAGTCTTGGCGAATGCAGAACTTAGTTACACAGCACAAAAAGCCTTAGAGAATAAATTGTTACAGGATCCCAAACATGGCCGACTGCAGTTACTTAGCACTGTCAGAACATACCATTTGCTTTTTATTTACACAGTCCTTGGCATTGCCCTCTTTAGGGTTTGTCTAAGGTCACCCTCCCTCCTGGTGGAAATCTGCATCCAATAACTAATCTATATGGAGACCAAATGCTTGACTCTCTTTCTAATCTGTGATGGTTTTGAAGGGTTAGCCCAATTTGAGGATTACCCATAGGGTTGACTAAAGTTTCCACTGTAATATCCTCATTGCTTTACTTCATCCTCTGCCCAATCCTTCCTTCCTTTCCTTTCCACAGATGTTGATCTTAGAAATTCTTCTAATAGAACTTGTGCCTGCTAATCTTCATCACGGTCTGTTTCTCAGACATCCCAACAGACAAGAACAAGCTTATCAGAGTTCATCTCCTCCCTAAGCAAACTCTATTAAACACTGCCAAGTAAACTCTATTACCAAATATTTTATGGGTCACCAGTGCAGAGACTGCATGATACCAGAAAATTCCACTCCATTGAAATGCATTTTTTTGTTCCATTCTGATTTTCATTATTTTCATTCTAACTGGCTTAATTAAGTGGCCTAATGCTCCTTTTAAATATTCAGTACTCCAAAGTCTGTTTCAGTTTGCAGTCTTTGCAAATGTCAGATGACCTAACTTCTCCAGTGTTTTTCTTGATAAAGTCTAACTTATAATCTCAGTCATCCATTAAAAGAGTTTGAAATAAATCTTTCCTGTGGTTGTATAGCAGAGGGATATGGAAATTATATTATTCATATCTCCTATCTTCTATAGAAATATTCACACATTGCAAATTCTATTTGTTTTATATATTTTTTTAATTTGGATTTTCCATTATATTTATATCTGAGCTTTTTTGACAGATATACAATACATACCTTGCTTGTAAATATATGCTTAACTATAAAAAAAAATCTTTTGTCGTCTGATGTCCCCCCCCCTTTTTTATAATTTGCCAGAGTGTGTATATGCTCTCTGGAGAGATGGTGGTGAGTGGGAGGGTGAGAAAGCACCTACCCATGGGGAATGGTCACCTGCAATCCCTTCTCCTACATTTCTCCCTCCTTTAGGGATATTGGACATGCATGCACACATGCTTGGCATGTCTCTCAAACCACCAGGTCTGGGAATTGAACCATTCAGTTTGCCATGTGGGGTCTAGCCACCTTAACTACCATGCCCTGTGGGTGGCCCCTTTTCTATTTCTGAGCAACTTATTTCCACCATTACATATAGCAAACCTGTGTGGCAAGAAGAATTTGCTCTTCCAAGTTTTGTAGTAAGACGTTATAGAACTCAATTTTATTGGTTCAGAAGGCAAAAGCACAATCTCCCAGTCTTCTATTTTGAAGGCTAATTAAGGGGAGGCTGGTAGCCAGATGTCCTATCTTCCCTTAGGCTCATAACAAGGATAAGCAGGTTTATGCTCACCATGGGAGAAGCAGAAAATCACATTCAGAAAGTCATCAAACAAGTCATTCTCAGAGACAACTGCATTTCCATGTCATACAAGGCGAGGAGCCAATCCTTGTTTTTGGTGTCTCTTTTTACGTCTGCTAAATGGTAATGCAGAATTTTGTTATTCTGTACATTAGCAATATTTGAGAACTTTTAAAAATATTGATTGAACTTTATTTAAGTGATGATCAACAACATTTATTTTCTTTACATCTCAACAATGGCTATTCACCCAAGAGAGAGTGGATATAATTTTGGTCAAATTTTTATGTGAAACCAAGTGTTGGCATGGAGGTTGGCACAGCAGCACCCACATGGAAAAGAAGCTGAGTTTGCCTTGCAGGACCTTCCTGAGCACTCTGAGTGCACAGGCCCGTGATCTGACTCAGTTAAGAATGGGGTGGATCATGGCCTAAAGACTGTGTTGGGGTGCCTTTATGTCTGTCTCTGGCCCTCATGGAAGAAATCATGAAATAAGCTTTAAAATTTAAGTCAAAAACTTAAAACCAAATATTTAGCCTTAGTATATATAAGTACAAAAATTCAGTTTGTAGGGTAAAATTCTCTGGCTGCAAGAAAAAATGTTTGTTTTTCTTTATTAACAGGAATATCTTTTCATGATGGCATGGCCTCTTTTTGGCAATTTTCTGCTGTTGATGATTAGTACAGTTGTCTGTGTCTGTAGAAATGGAGTCAAGTAGAGAGATATTCATCACGTTAATTCCAAATAAAAGTACATGTCTGAGAACTATAGTAACGAGAAGGTAAACAAATAATACCACTGCCTAATATTTTGGAGGCTACTAGGTGAAGCCTGAGGATTTTAGCCAAGATTCAGGAATGACTCTTGAGTTTGTCACCACGAGATAAAGTATGAAGCTAAACTGTGTGCTTAAGAAAAGAAGAAAGCCATAAACTTCTCTTTCTGGCCACGGCAATGATGAATTTTCTACCATTTTCCCTGTGGCTTTAGACAATCTCCACAATGAGTTCTCTGTGTAAATTCAGAACAAAGAACCGTAGTTGGAGGAAAGAGGAAAACTGGAGGGAATGCTCAAATTGAGATAGCGCTCAGAACTTCCCCAACCCCAGTTCGATGTACCATGACCTTTGTTGGGAGCTCAAGGTAAGATATGTCATTTTAAATAATGTAGTCAATTTAGAGAAGAAATTCTATTTTAAAAATTTATTTTAGATACTATCTCATAAATCCTCCAAAATATAAAGTGCTGATATGCCATTATTTGTAACAAGGACTGTTTTTTGTGGGTGTGGTGGAGATTTTTGCTATAGGGCGTGTGTACTCACTGGAGAGACAGAGAAACAGAAAGTGAGAAATCATCACCTCCCTTCCCCCAGGAGAATGGCCACACCACAATCCCTTCTCCTCCATTCACCTCTCAGGATTTGGGGCACTCATGGGCATGCACACTGTGTGTTTTAAACCGTCAGGTTCGGCACTTAAACTGTAATCAGCCACGTGGGTGTCTAGCACCTTAACCACTATGCCACCAGCTGGCCCCTGTAAAATGGACTTTTATTAAAACTATCTCAGTATATACTTATTGATTAAAAAAAGGGTTAGCTGTTGTAACAAATAATCCTCCAAATTTCAGTGATTTAATATAATTTTATAATTTTACGTCTCTGTCTTGTAGATTCAACAGCATTAGACAAGTCTGCTGCATGCAATCATATAGAGACTTCAGCATCTTTTTTTTTGTTTGTTTTTGAGAGGTTTTCGCTATAGGGCACATGAGCTCGCAAGAGACAGAGAGACAGAAAGCGAGAAATCCCCCCCCCCCCCCGAAGGATGGCCACGCCGCAATCCCTTCTCCTCTATTCTCCTCTCGGGATTTCGGGATTCTGGGCACGCACGCACATGCGCCCAGCATGAGTTTAAGCCACTGGGTCCGGGACGTGAACTGTGGTGGACTACGTGGGAGTCCAGCGACATAGCCATTACGCCAACTGCTGGTCCCGAAACTTCAGCATCTTTAGAACCTGGGTTCTGCAGTTATTTTCAGCTAATGGAGGTAAGGAGGACAGTGCAGATCTGGGGCATAAAAGATGCACATGTTCTATTCCTAGATAGGATATACCTCCTCACTACATTCTAGCATGGTCTGTATAACACAGCAACAACTCCCTGAGAGTTTACAAGAAATTCATACGTGCAAGGCTTATTCCAGACATATGAATCAGAACCTGCATTTTAATATGGGTCTCCCACGTGAATAATATGCTTATTAAATTTAAGAGGCAAAATTTAGGAGAGAGGTAGACAAATTTACTAACTGCATTGGGCTTGGTATATTTCAAGATTATCTTTAGGGGTTAGTATCAGGAAAAAATATGGAGGAATTCACAAAGTATTTCTTCTTATTCTTCTTTTTTAATTAATAATTATTGAGTAACATAACAATTGCTGCAGTGTGACTTTTTCAGTATACAAATACAGCATGCAATTATTATATCCATTATTTTGATCGTTTGTAACACTATAGACAGTAAGTTTTTGTTAATCATTTTCTCCTCAGTGTATTTTATAACATTAGCTATTGATCTGTCAATCTGCTATTTTGTTACTGTTAATCAACATCCTGGGACCAGCAGATGGTGTGATGGTTATGTCTCTGGACTCCCATGTATTTGACCATGGTTCAAGTCCTGGGCCTGGTTGCTTAAAACTCACACCGGGCATGTGTGTGTGCATGTCCAAGATCCCAGGAGGAGAGTGGAGGAGAAGGGAGTGTGGTGTAGTCATCCCCCCGCAGTGAGTGATTTCTTGCTTTCTGTCTCTCTGTCTTTTTCTGTCTCTCCAGCAAACACAGATGCCCTATAGCAAAAATTTCTTTCAAAAAAAACTCCCAAAATTTCTTCTAACTTCTCTTCCTTCTAAGCATCCAGTAGTCATTCTACATCTCTCTACTTCCATGAGGTCACTTTTTCCGATTTCCATAATATGAAAGAGATTGCTTAGATTTCTTTCTGTACTTGGCTTATTTCACTTAGCAAAATGTCTTCCAGGCTTACCCATTTAACCTCAAAGGACTGGATTCCATCCTTTTTAATGGTTGCTTAGTTCCATTGTGTATGTGTATAGGTTGTGTTAATCCACTCATTTTTAAGAGCTTTTTTTAAAGATTTTATTTAATATTTATTTATTTATTTATTTATTTAAATTCGACCAGAGAGGGACAGAGCAAATAGAAAGAGAGAGAAAATGAGAAAACAAGCCACCAGATCCAGGACCCGAACCACGGTCAACCATATAGGAGTCCAGTGCCCTTAACCACCATGTCACCTGCCGGCCCCTATCCATTCATTTTTAAGAGTTTTAGATTGCCAGTCTGGGACTTGAACCACAGTCAACTATGTGGGTATCCAGTGATGTAACCATTATGCCATTTGCTGGTTCCTACCCATTCATTTTTTTGATGGACACAGGTTGCTTCTATACATTGCTTACTAGGGATAGTGCAGCGAGGGGTGCAACATCCTTACCACATATTGCTTTCTTTTCCTTTGGATGCATGCCTAGTTGTGGGATTGCTGGATCACATTGCAGTTCCTTTTTTGGTTTCCTGAGGAATCTTTATGCTTTTATCCATAATGGCTGCACTAATTTACCTTCCTATGAATATCATTAAAGACTGCCCTGTTCACAGCATTCTCACCAGTATCTACTACTGTTTTTTTTTAATTGATAATAGCCATTCTTACTGAAATAATATGGTAATAATAATAATCTCCTTGCAGTTTTCCTAATGATCAGTGATGCTGTGCAGTTTTCATGTTTGTTGGCCATTTGTAGGTCTTGCTCAGAGAACTGTAGGTCTTGTTGTTGGCCCTTTGATAAGTCAGATTTGTCTTTCATGTGTTCGTTTTTGTTTTTTTTTTTGCTGAATTAAGCTCTATTTTTCTGCTGTAATGAG